ATCATAATCATTATTTTTGAACATTATTTTATTATTCAATATCCATATTATGTTCATTAATCCATTTATTGATTTCTTTTATTTTGATTTACATTTCTGTATCACTGAAATTATTACCATCTCTTACACCAATAATCTATGTTATTACTTCATCTAATGGTTTTTTTGCATGTTCTTAAGTGTAAGCTTTAGCTTTATTTTAATATAATGCCAAATTTTCCAAATATTCAGAAGCAATAGTAGTGTCTAATGGATCATCAGGTTCTGGAGTCATTAATAATCCTATTTAATAATGAATAAATAGAAATACCAAAAATAGCTGAAAATATCTAAAGTATAGTTGTATCTAGAGTGTAATTTCTATCTAGAATGCTATGACAAATTCTTCCTTGAGAGTTTATATTGCAATGATAGATTGGAGTAAGAAATCTAAGATTAGGAGGTTTATTTGGATAATTTTCATCAAATTGTAAATATAATATAAAGACTCCTCCTTCATAAGGTGTTTATTCTGGACCCAATAAAATAATTTTCCAAAATGAAACATTACCTTAACATGGGAATATTTTAATATGGGGATGAGGATGTTATTCATAATTCATAATTTCTTTGATTACTCTTTTTAATGAATTATTGGAAGCATATTAGAATAATTTAGTTTAATCTTATATAATTTCTTAAACAAGTTATTAAGGATGTATTGATTATTGATTGATTTCATTTGGTAAATTAATACCAATAGGTACTTTATCAAATTCAATTTATGAATTCTTTAATTTAAAAGTATCTCTTAATTATTTAAGAGTTATGTTATTTTACTTTTATCTTATTGAAGCTTATAAAATTGTTTCATATTCAAATAATTTTAATCCTTCTTATATAGTTTAAGGAGAGAAACATTATCCTCCAGTTGCCTTAGTTATTTTCTTTAAATCTGAACAATTATTTGATACAACAAAAGAATCTAATATAATTTAATTTTGTAAAATTGATTCAGCAACTTTTATTGGATCTAAAGCATATGCATCATTATCTTATCCATCTGTTAAAGCAATAATTCTTAACAAACACTTTGGATATTATTTTTTAAATGTTAATAATGATTTTTCAGCATATTTCAAAGCTCTGTATAGATTAGTTTTACCATTAGGTTAAGCTTTATTTACTAAATCTTTAAATAATATAAAGAGTTCTGTAAATGAACATTTCTCAATTATTCTATTATCAAAATATACTAAAGAAATAACATGTTTTAAATCATAGGCCATAGTTCTATCAGCAAATGTATTAAAAAATGCTTTAACAACTCCCATTCTAGTCAAATCTTCACTATCATAAAATAATTCATCCATAGAACCTGATATATCAAGTAGAACTACTATTGCTTCATTAGGAGGATTACTAATTTTAGGTTCAAATACTCTTTCTTTACTTTAATCAGAATCATCATCAGATTTACCTAAAACTACTGAACCAATTTATTAAAGAAGAGCCAAATTATCAGGATTCATTGGTTTTGTTTCACCAGTCATTACATTATATATTAGAATTGGATTCTTTACATCTTTATTATTACCTTAATATATTAATAATTCTTTATTTTATCCACTTGTTAATAATGGAGATGACTATTAATTTTTTAATTCAATTCCACTATATAATTTTAAAGATGTATCAGTAGTTATAACTTAATTCTAATACCAAGTTTTTTCTATATCAATTATTAATTAATTCATATTATCTAAAGGTGTTGGTAACCAAATCATAGTTTCTCTATCTTATAATTTAATTAATTTAAAATCTTCTAATAATTAATTTGGTTATAATAATTTCATTTATTCATAAGGGATTTTCTTTTAATTAACTTCATTATTCTAAATTTTAATTTGTATTTCATCATAATCAACTAATTAACAAGTTTATAAATCAATTTTATCATCATCAGTTTATTCTGATAAATATGCTGGATTCTTTATTTTTTTAAATGTAATGTGACATATAAGTTCAATGAATCTATATTTTTCTTATTATTTAACCTAATCTTGATTCATTTCCAATGAAAATTTAAGTAATTTTAGATAAAAATATCTTGAATATTCAAATATATTATTAATTTAGAATGTCTCAGGTACACTATTACTTTAAATTATTAGATCAAAAAATAAACGTTACATACCTACTTCAAATGCTATACATTGCAATTAAGAACATCTCAAATTTTGAGTTAATAATTTACATGCTAATACAAGTGGAGCATTGTTCATTGAAATTTACCTTATCAATGCCATTATTTATGCATCACCTTTTTTAGAAAAGAACACAAGTGAAACAGATCTAAATTACTATAATCCTATTTATGTTTATTCTCTTATATGATTCATCCAAGGAAGATGAAAATTACCATTATAACTATAAGAAAATGAAGATGAATCTAAGACTCTAAATGTTAAGTTAATATTGGCTAAATTTTGTATTCCATAATCTTGTAATAATTTTGTATTATCTAGTATTTTACCAACATAATTTAATTATTGAAATGGAGTTGGTATATTTAATTTATGATATATTTTTTATTTTAATTCTAAAACTGTTGTTGTCTTTAAATCAACTTTAATTGATTTAATTCCAGAATATTATATAAATATTTATGATTATCCTTCTTCTGAATCTATTTTAGGTAATGAAGCTTATCCTGCTTTACATTTTGTAATTATTACAAACATTTCTTTATTCTATAAACTATTTAATGTTTCCTAAACCATAACATTGTGCATTTAATTTAAAGATGCACATATTGGTAATCCACTTAAACTATAAAAACAAGCTACATGATCTTTTTATAATTATAAACTGTTGCACACTAATTCAGATACTTACATCAATGAGTTATCCAATTTACATTTAAATTTATAGGTTTTCTATATATCTTTAGCTTAAAGGAATCTTAAATAGAATTCGAAATCACCTTCCCCTTCCTATTATATGTTTTCTATACTTTGAGTATCTAAATAAAATTTATCTTGTAATTCTTGTATTTAATTTTTATCTAATAATTTATCGATAGAATTATTTTAAGGAATAGGTTATTATACTATATTAGTTTTATTTTATGGTTATTATTATACAATATTAGATTAATTTTATTGAGTACTTTAATTCTAAATATTAGATGATGGGACTTAATTTAAGATTGGTATTGTTTATTGTTAAAATGATGTTGGTTATGGATTTGCTTATGGTTAAGGTTATTTAATGCTATTAGCTAAAGAGGGTATGAATATTAATTGAATTATTTCATTATCTTTAATTAAATCTAATACAAGATCATCATCATCTAAAATATTATTCAGATTATCTTTCAATAAGTAATTTGTAGCCTCAAAGTTCAAAGGTATGTTCTCAAAACCAATTTTTACTAGCTAATTGAAATAAAAAAGGCACTTTTACTTTTTAAAGTTTGCTCAGACGGTCAACAGAAAATTATTTTAGTTCTCCAATAACTGTCTTTTCATTAACTAAAAAGGCAATTTTAAATTATGTTTCAGCATACTTAATAGAGAGAGTTATTTTGCTCATTGATTGAATATTTGAGTTTGGTAAATATATTAATCTTTTTATTCTACTCGGATTAATTTTATATATTAAATCTTTTATATTATAGGAAATAATTAAAAGGAGGGATTTTTTAATTATTATCATTAAAAAAAAATATAAATAAATTAAAAATAATAATTTTTGTGACATAATTAAAATATGAATCTACAAGAACTATTAAAATTAATTATAATATAATATGTTATTTCAGTTTATATCAAAACTTAAACAATATTAAAATACATAAATATTATAGTTATTAAATAGATAAAATAGAATAACTGTAACTCTTTAGACTAATTAAAATAATATTTAATGAGTTTTTCTCTTATAATTATATCTAGTTAAAAGTTTATGTAATTTCAATTCATTCAATTTCCTATATAAAAGATAAATCAAAAGTATTAAATTTTCTATTGAACAATAAATTATTAAAACTATTTAAATATATTTACAATTAAATTTAGATCAAAGTGTGCTTCAAAAATATAGAATCCATATTAAAAATAGTAATTTTAATTTATTATTTTGCAAGAATATTGGACCTAATTAAAATGAATTTCAGTTCTAATTTATGAAATTTCAATGAAAAGTTAAAAATAATCAATTGATAAATATATATTATTCTTATTAATAAGAGAAGTTTAATGTAAAATTTTAATGAAATAACTACATGAAATGATTAAATAAGAGCCAATCATAAATTTTAATAATCATATATTAAAAAAGTTAGTGTTCTATATGAGAAATTTATTAAGACAGAAAGTAATTAATTATATAAGCTTTATGGTTTAGGATAGAATAAAAGAATTTAAAATCTAATTATGATTAAGGTTCATGAGACCTAGAATAAATATAAAGTGATATTGGAAGTTCTTATGATTTTTATGTTTGTATATTTAACATAAATATATTTTATTCAAAATGTACATGAGATCGATTTTGAAATTGAGATAAGCCTTTTCAGGTATTTATTTAATGTGAGTGTCTAAGTCTTAACTAAATACACAAAAGATCATGAATGGATTAAATATGACACACAAACAAAGATTGCTAAAATTGGAATTACAGATTATGCATAAAAGGAATTAGGAGATATAGTTCATGTTGATTTCCAAAAAGTAGGAATGGTATTTAAAACACACCAATCATTGGGAGCAATTGAAAGTGTAAAAGTTGCTGCTGATATCTATGCTCCTGTTGCTGGTGAAATCGTTGGAGTAATTTACTTATTAAAAACTAGATTAATGAAGATTTAAAGGACTCTCCAAATTTGATTAATGAGAAGGCAGAAGAAACATGGATTTTGTAAGCAAAAGTATAAAATGAGGCTGAATTAGATACATTATTAGATAAATAATCATATGATAAGATCATTAACAAATGAGAATATTATTACAAATAAATCATAATCTAATATATATAGAATGTATTATAATATATTAATCACATAAAATTATAAATTCAAAATATTAAACCTAATTGATTTTCTCTTAGTTATCAATAATAGTTTCAATTAATAATTCATCATCTGTTAATTATTTCCCATTTATTTTTGCCAAATAGTAATTCTCCTCTACTTCAGGAAGTTAAGCTATCCTTTTTTTAATTAACTATTAAATTATTAAATAATAATATTTACTTCTTCAATTCTTTCCAAACCAAGTTGTAATGGTCCCTAACTTAATTTCTTATAAAATTCTATTGCTTAATAGTATTTCCTTGTTCTTAATAACTTATTCACAAATTCTATTAAAACTTATTTATCTGCTAAATTCTTAATGATTTCATTCACAATATTATCTTATTCTGGTGTAAACTCAATCTTTAATAAATTTAAAATATCCTTCTAATCTATCATCTATTTTATATAATATTTTAAAGCTAATTCTGTTTTCAATTCTGTAACATAAATATATGCTTATAAAGATCTTTTATATGCAATTAATAAATTAATAATAATATCACTATTACTTAAAAAATTCCAATCAATCTTACTTGCTAATAATATCTCATAAGCATCTTATTCTTAATGTAAATCGATCAATTCTTAAATTACTATTAATTTCCAATTCTCAATCTAAAAATAATATAACTTCATTAGTTTAACAATATTAGAAAATTATTATTTTGGATCTGTATCAATTAGATATATAGCCTAATAAAGTTAAACATATTTCTCTCTTACAATTTCTATTTCTTATATTACTTATGTAGATTGAATGTATGTTATTATTAATTCTTATTAATAAATAGTCAACTTTGACATCATTTTTAATAATTATGTTTCTGACTCTTCTTATAACATTTATTGTATTTCTGTTTAACAAAGAATAACTTTTTTCAATAATTTATATCTAGGTGCACTTAATAAATTATAAATGATTCTCCAATTTTACACATAAAATTCATAATTTCTTATCACATAATTTATGTCAATTATTTAGTTGAATTACTATTATAAATTCTCAATATCTCTTTATGCTATTTTGGGAGTAGGCAATTTTTGAATTTCCTTCTTTTTTCGATCTATTTTCAAATGTATTTCATACTTAATACTGAGTTAAAGAGTTTTACAATACGATTTGATATTTATGATTAACAAAAATTCTTTTCAATCATCAAATCCAATAATTCATTTTACATATAATTAATAATATAAGACAAATCATCAAGTGTCTTCAAATAATAATAACTATTTAATGGTGATTAATCTTGCCTATAAACCAATTTTATTAAAATATCCAATCCAATATCATATTTAAGCATTGTAAATAATAATTTTTATCTTTCCTGTTAATACTATTATGATGAAATCACTTCAGGATTTATATTCAATTCAATTTTTATTTTATCTAAAATATCTGGTAAAATCATGAAATTCATATCAAAAAAGTAATGGTCTTAATTAGCTATTAGAATATCCTCTTCTGCTTTATATAATTAAAAATTCCAATAATTTTATAAATTATTTTAAGGAATTTCTTAATCCATTTAATTATTTAATTATTTAAAAAATAAAGAAAATAATAATAATTATTTACAATATATTAAAGATATATGATTTGATATAAATTTAAATAGATAATGTTTAACATAAAAATAGATCAATCTAAATATAATAAAAATTAAGAATTAAAATGAATATGAATAAATAAATAAATATCTATCATTATTTTCTTTTAAACATTGCTACAAAAAATCCATCACTTTCTTTAGGAGGAACACGTATGAAATGTTAATTATTATCAATTCCACGATATGGCCATTCTGGAAATAAATTTACAGATTCCCATTATTAATGAAGTTATAAAAAGTTATTAGCTACATCTTCATTTTCTTCTTTATAAATAGAACATGTTGAATAGATAATCAATTTTAATTTTTTAAAAAATGTTAAATGATGTAACATTTTTGATTGAAATTATGATAATTATGTAACCTATTCTTTTTTATTATCTGGAACTTCTATAGAATCATCCTTAGAAGCTTCTATCATTCTTAATTAAAGCATGCCACTACCTGAACAAGATGGATCTAAGAGTGCTATTTTAATGTTTGGATAATCTCTAGGTTTAATAGTTAAGAAATCAAAATTTAATGGTTAAACATTTTCACAATTATATTTGTTTAATCTATTTTTTAATATTTCAAATCTCTTTTCATCTCTTTCAATTGCATATATTTTACCAGTAATATTATTTTATTTAGCATAATGTGATAGTTATATTGTTTTATTTCCTGGAGCTGCACAACAATCAATTATATCAGCAATTTTATTTTTTATATTCCTTAATAATAAATATGCTGGTAATGCACTAGATTTACTTTAAACAATATATGTATTTCCTTTTAAAAATTCAGGATTCTTAGATAAATATTATGAATAGATATCATAATCAACTTTACATAAATTTGGTATATGTTCATCTTTTTCAGATTCAAATGGTAATTATTATAATGCTCTAATATAGATGTATTTTTTCTCTTATTCATAGATCTTATTTTATTCAAGTAATTATTTTATTAATACTTTGTGAGTTTTAAGATATCTTGCAACTACTCCTCCCATTTTTTTAGCTTTCTTATTTTATGGATTAAATATATCAAGCATCAAAACTATTAATAAATTGTAATCAAATATATCTATATATTGAATGGACTTAATTTCCTCCACAATTTAATATAATTATTCGTAATGTTGAATAGCCTTACTAATGATTGCATAAGCCTATCTGACAAATGACTAATTGGAAGAACTCTTCAATATTATAGATTTCAAAGTACTTTTTCTATCAAGACATTATTATAATAGTGCTGCTATTTATGAATATTTTTGCATAATTAATATTTAACATATATTTTTTTAACTCATTATTTAGCAGCATTTGATAATACACCTCTAAATATTTTTGATCCACCATAATTAAGTATCTAAATAATATTATTATTATTATTATACAGGTGATTATTATTATTTACTACTCTTTTTCCTTTCATTTCTTTATTAACAAGTTTTTGGTGTATGTTACATAGATTATGATCTTTTATCTTCAGGAGTAGGTGGTAAATTAACAGGATTTGGAATTGGAGTAATGAATTAACCTAATTATTATGTTTTTTTTCTTATTTAATTCTCAGATCTCTTTGTTTTGTTCTCCTTATAATTTATTATTTTTATTTACTTTTTATACTTTTTTATCATTTTCTTTTAAAGCAACTAATATAAAGTTTTTATAAATCAAAGATTCTCGAACTAATTTAATTTAGATCAAATTTTAGAAATAAGAATCAAGTAACTATCTTCTTTGTTCTATAAGTTAAAAATTAGAATTGACAGATTTCCACCAATATGATTTTGGGAATGTAGGTAATTCTGTTTTTAATGTTTCAAGTGTTTCATGAAATCTTTTAAGTTCTGAATATCTGTAATTATTTTCGAATTCTGTATTTGATTTTTTGTTTAAAAAGCTTATTATTATGTTTTATATTTTACTGAACTCTATATTAGACTTAATCCTCATTTTTCTTGAATTCTGGGACTTATATGAGGATGTCTATTTCATTATCTTACATAAACCTGTTGTTTAAAATCACAAATATATAAAATTTAATTTGTTTAATTCAATTGTAAAATCTATTTTGAAATTCAAAATGTGCAAAAATAATAGATAAAACTTTAAAATAAGTAATTAATCATTTTGATATGAATAATAGAAATAGGATAAATAATAATTATATACAATTGAATATAGATACTAAAACTAATAAGTAGTTTAAGTATTATAATTTATAAACAAATTTTGATTCATTTTTGATATTTTTAATTAGATTCTTATTGTTATTATTATAATAACTATTTTAAAAATTTAACTTCCTCTTTTAAACTATTTTTTTATTATTTCCAAAGAGTTTCTTTTGTTTGATATTAAGTTAATATCTTAGAGGTTTTTAAATATAATTCTTAGAGAAGATTACTATGATTTGTTTATAGTGATAATGATATCCTTTTATTTTAAGCTGAATCAAATTTATTTTCATTTACTTTTTTTTCTTCTTGATTTTTATCATTACCATTCTCTAATATAAATTAATCTCATACATCTTTTATGACTTTTTTATTGTATATATTATCTTAGGCATTCATTTAATGATCCAAATACATTCATATGAGTCTATTTTTAATGAGTACTAGTAAAAAAGCCTGAAGGATAAATTTAATTATATACCTGATCCAATTTTATTGATATTGTTGGGACTTTTTTAAAGACTTTTTGATGTCATAATTTTTTTTTATTAAACATTATTATCATCATCTTAAACAATATCACATAATTGCGGAGGTCTTTTTTTTTTATAATCATTTTTTTCACTTTATTCTTTTTAAGGTGAATTTATTTAAGGTTAAAGTAGTTAATTTAAAGAATTTCCATTTCTTTTTATTGTATTTTCTTTTACATTTTGATTTTATTTTAAAACATTAATTAACTCATTTTTCACATTTACTTATGGTTTGCCATTTAATGAGGCTTTACCTATACTATGTCTTAAAAGTGATTCTATTCCATCTTATGGACTCATAAATTTTTATTTTAGACTATTTTTTATGCCATTTTATTAACAACTACTCTAACCCTACTAAGATTTCTAATTGCTTTATGAGTTTGAGTGTTCCTAATTACGGATTTCATTAGGATAAATTGGTGAATTAACAGATAATAGTTTCTATAAAGCTGTTAATGCTTTAGGTGTTATTTACATAAATAAATATTATTTCCTATATTAGAATAAAATTAAAACAAATAATAACGAATAATATTATAAATAAATTATATATAAAAATATCATTAAAAAATAGTATTATTATTATAATTAATTATCTAATCTGTCTTTAATTAACTTGCTTTATCAATTGATTATTTAACAGAATGATTCTATCTATCATCATTTTCTTCTAATATGATATCCAAATTTTCATTATTACCAAATACCTATTTTAAAATGTTACCATCTATATTTGAGACATTGTCTTGTTCATCAACTATATTTTATTAATTCTCTTAAGCAAAAAAAGATGTATCATATTAATTTTCAAATTCATCATTATTCACTATAAGATTTAATCTATTATTTTATATTTCAATATATTCATCCTATAAACTCTATTCTTAATTCTTAAATTATGAAGGACATCCATCAAGAGAACCATAACCATTAATATTATGATCAGAATACATTTTTGATAAGAAATTCAAATCATTTTATTATTATTAATCTTATTATTGTCTGAGTTCTCTTTAAAATATATTGATAGGGATGACAATAGTTAATTAGTTAGAATTTTTGAATTTCTATGAATAATTAGCAATCAAACACAAATTATAATGATGGATTATTCGATCTGTAAAAAGTGTAGATTGTGGAAATATAGATAATGGATCATTCTTATCCTATTCTAATTTCAATTTAAATTCTAATTATCTTTTTTATCTACCTTTTACATAAACTAATATATGATAAAATTTTACTATTATATAGTTATTTTGTTAAGTTAAAATAATTTGATATCTTCAATTTTAATAGAGGATATAAAATTATCAATTAAGATTGGATAGATAAACTTAAATTTAATAAATTTAAATCAGTTTTAGTATTATCTATCTCAATTTCAATATCAATAATTTCACCTATGAAGTATCCTTATTTATTAATTTATAGAGATATTGTAGCACTCTAATAAATATGAATTATTGTACTCCTCCATTAAAAAAGCATAGTTTTTTTAATTCTCTTTATTCTCCAACATAACAAATTGGTTGCATAAATGAAACTTATGGTATATGATAAACATGAATAGTTATTTTATGTGAAGGTACTATTTTGTAAATTGTTTATTAATTCTCATCTGTAAAGTAAATTGATAAAATATATATCATTCTACATTATACAGTTTTGTAATAATTTATACAAAAACTAGGTATTTCTTAAGGAGTTTCTAATTCAAATTATCTTTTGTAATTTCCTTATTTGAAATGACTTAAAGATCAAAATAATTAAATACGATCCAAAATTATGTAGCCATTTATGTTTTTAATAAAAAATGTTCTTGAATCTTATCCATTAATTATATTTATCAACTTAATTTACTTTCTATACTCCAATTAACTAAATGAAAAATCAAGACTACTTTTAGAAATATCATGTTGCAATCAAGATTAGAAGATTAAACTTTCAAATAGATTACTCCTTTGATTAAATCACCAACTCTATAGTTATTCTTATCAACTTTAAGTGAAACTTATATTTAATCAGAATTCAGTTTCTTTATCATCAATATAATTATAACAATTTACATATAGAATTTTATATTTACATCAATATATATTTACATAATATTTTGGTACTTCAAATTAGATGTCAAACAATAGTTATTTATCAACTACATACATTTCATCTCTATTTGGTGATTTAAATACTATCTAATTTCCAGATTCCACAATCATATGTTTCTAATCATTATTTTATAAACAGATATCTGACTAAGATTAAACATCTACATAATATTTAAACTTACCTTATATTTCATTTTTGTTCTACTCTAAATTAGATTAGGCATTTTATTATTATAAGGAATCATTCTAATGATTTATTTATTGTATTACTTCTTCTTTTTCTAATTATTATTATTATTATTATTATTATTATTATTATTCATTTTAAATTCTTAATTCTTCTTTTATCTCTCCATCATCATCTTACTATCTTAAATTAGATAATTTTTCAGATTATAGAATATTTGATTAAATTTATTCATAATCTTAATTCTATTTTTATTAATTATCCTATTCTGTCAAAATTGTGTTTTGTTATTACTATTTGAAATCAGAAATTTCTTAATTTTAATATTATACTTCTATATTGCTATTTTATTTAGATTCATTAACTATAAATAATATATGGAATAATAATACTTTATTAATTTATTATATTTTAAGATTAATTTATGGAATGTTCTTAAGTATCATTTGTATTATCTATTTGAATTGATTTATTTAGTTCTGATTATTAATTTTATTAATTGTTTTATATAATATCATTTTATTCTTGATTTTCAATTTATTAATATTAATTTGATTCTTCATTAAGTTATTCTTCTTCATTATTTAACACTTAATTAAATTCATTATCTTCTTATTATTTAATCAATTAAGAAAAGTTAAAAGAATGTAAAGCACCTGATGCAAATTCACATCCTAAAGCTCCTGGTCCACCCCAATTATATTTTGGATTTAAAATAACAATTCTAGGTGATTTTTTAGTTAATGGTGAAAATATACATAGCTTAATTTTTAAATATAATGAATTACTTCAATTGATTATTTTGTATATGCTTATCCTGTTACAATATCTGAGAATTCATCAATAGATTAATATCTATGAGATTTAACACCTAATAGATAATCTTAATTGCTTTTAAGTCCACTTGCTTCTGCAGGACTACCATTTAATACTTTAGTAATATGTAAAATCAATGGATTTATTGATTCATATCTAATGAATAGACCCAATTTAATTGTGGATCGTGGTTCAGAAATATAGATTTTTCTAGTCTCCAATGAAAATATATTAAAAATAGACAACTCTATAGGTTCATCACTTTCAAGTAATTTGATAGAATTGACCTAGGAATTAGATTTAATGTGGATGATATAATCTAGAAAGATTTCCAAATCTAATGTTATCTTACAATAATACTAAGGTTAGATCCAAATGAATTGGGTTCTATTGATATGATTCTGTATCCATAGCCATTACCAATTTATGAGGAATTATTGCCCATTTATAATATTATATATATATATATTATATATGTTAATCATAGGGCACAGGCAAATACATTAACTATTCCTATGATTGCTTCAGTTTCATGTTTGATGGTGAGTGATCCATCTGTATCATTATCCCAATAACAAGATCCAGATATGTTGAGACCACATTCAGCCTTTTACATTAGGAGACAGTTAACAATGAATTTGAAATTTTTGTTATGAGTTGTTAATTGTTTCAAAATGGAATCACATATTTTATTACTTTTAACTTAAGCATCATTATGATCATATGTTAATTTATCTAATTCTCTTTATAAGGTAGATTAAACAAATTTCTAGACTTCATTTTTTAGAGGACCATTAAAACTAACTACATTTCCTAGTTAATCCATTTATATATTTTTTAATTTAAATTATATTATTAATATATAATCAGTATGATGATTTAATTTAGAACTTATATACATTTCCTAAATGTTTTTTTTTGTTGAATAATTATGAATTAGATATAGGAGTAAAATTCATTCTAACATTATGAATACTTTCAACATTTGTAGGATGATTTTCAGGTTTGGTAGTTTTAGATGAAGTAAATTAAGGTTTATTAATTTCAATAGATGGTTAGACATTAATAGATAGTTTTTTAAGTTTATTTTATATGATTTTTGCATATGATAAAGAATTGAAATTTGATTAACTTTATGATCTAGTTTATTCTTAAGTTTTAATACTAGATCTTAGACTAAATTAGATGTCTTTACTTCTAAGATCACTTTCAGATTAAAGTTATAATCTATTTCTTTAATTTCTAGTTTCTGATCTTATAAGATTCATTTCATTTACATATGGATCACTTCTAAAAGGAACTAAAAAAGAATATTTCTCAGCTTGGATTGTCTCAATATTTTCTATACTCTATTTAAGATTTTCTATTTCATAATAATATATAGCCTTTTATGCTTATTCTACAGTTTTTTCCATTTTCTTTCTTAATTTATCAATTTATTATTCAACTTTTATTTTCTAATAATATGATGATTTAATTTAATCAAGATTAAATTAATATGTTTAATCTCCAGTAGGTTCAGTCAAATTAAGATTTTAATTAGTTCTTTATCCAAGATGACTCTATATTTTAAATTTTACATTTTCATATTTAAGAAAATCATCAATAGATGAATAAATTTGAAAATAGTCTAATAATTATCTATATTTAATTCTATAATAAGTAGAATCTGTTTTAGCTTTTGCAGTAGTAATTCTATAATTAAGTTATTTGAAATGTTCATAATCTCCAAAAAATTATCCAGAATTTATAATAGCCATAATACTAGGTTTAGGAACAAAATTATGATGATTAGATATTTAATCTTTATTAGGAGTTGACCATTAAATAACTTCAATTTCTCCATTAATTACTAAATATATATATTCATCAGGTTTCCCTTTTTAAAAAATAAATTATCCAACTTTTTTATTTTATACTTCAAGACTTTATAAAAGTACTAATTGATTTTATCTTTGCCAAACACTAAAAATAGGTATTTTAGTTATAAAAGCTATTTTTTAATTTGTTAATTCATGTTAAAATGCACCAAGTATTCTTTAATAGAGATCATAAGTAATGACAGCTAGAATTACTTCTGTTTTAGCAGCAACAGTAGCTGTTCTAGTAACTTTTTATTCAATAGCTATTTCTCCAAATTAATCCCCTTCTATTTTAGTTGCAACTTATGTATAATCAGAAAATACATATTTAACCCATTCATCAAAAGAACTAATATATTAATATATAATACTTAAATTTTTGTTTCTTTTAGGGTTGATTTTCTGAAGTATTTTTAGTTTTAGGGATTAAAATTACTAATTCACCTTGAAGTACAAAATACATTCTTCTTCCAGGATCACCATGTCTGAAAATGATTTTTGTACTATCATACCATTCTAAAGTCATTTCTCTAAATAAAGATTTACAACTTTCATGATCTAATTTCTCTTTGAATTTACTAATCTAATTTATAATAGTTATACCTATAATAAGGAAAGTTTTCTTCAAAATATGTTTTAACTGCTTCTAATTATTCATCTGTTCTATTTTAAGAGTATTATTTCAAAATATATATAGTTCTTTATAATTATATTGTTTTTGTGTGTGAACTATCTCTTTACCAAAGTGTTGCTGCCTTTTCCAAAATACTCATATTTCTACGTTCATTATCTTCTTTTTATTTTGCTGACATTACTATTTATTAGAATGTATTCGTAACTCCTTTTTATGTTGTGCTATTTTTCATATAAAATTTAATTATGTTTATAACTAGATTCAGAAATCTGTACAAGTTCTCATCTGTCATAGATCCTTATTAAGTATTAGGAGTTGATAAATTTACTTCATTTCCAGAAATCAAGAAAGCTTATTATAAAATGGCAGCTTAATATCATCCAGACATTAATAAAACACCTGTGTTAAGATCATTTAATATATATAGTCTGCCTAAAAATAATTCATATTAATAAAAGAATCTTTTGAGAAGATTAAAATGATGAAAGGAGAAGCTGTCTAAATGAATTCAGAAGGTTCTATTAAAAAAGAAAATGAATATGAATCTGTACGTAAAAATTATAAAGATTATGATGAAAACTTTTCAGAATCTAATGAATAAAAAGATTATAAAGAATTCTATCATTAAGCAGAAGATTTAAAAGGTCAAGAATATGATCATCTTAAAAAGTCATTTTAAACTATTCATGAAGTTAAAGATATTAAATTCAAACCTATAGATATGAAAATGCCTGATCCATCTAAAAGATTTAATTTAGGTCAGGTTATGCATTTAAAGGTATTCTCAGATGGTTCTAATCTATATATTATTACAATCTGTGTTGGTATGTTTATACTCTTTTTTGTTATGTAAAATTCTTATTATTATTATTCTTTAGTAATTCAGTATTTTAAATGCAAACTAAAAGAAAGACTAATTCTTAATTATATAATTTATTGAATAAATAAGTAATTAAAGAAGATTTGGAAGAAGAGTAACTCTTACAATAAGTAACAACTTAAATAGAAAAAACATAAGAATTTAAATAATTTAAATAGGAATAACTATAGAAATAAGAGAAATCAACATAAAGAAGAAGATAAATTGTTCCAGAAATCTAAACTTTTGTATCAGCAACTGATCTTAAAGATAGTGTATTATGAAATTAAATATATAAAATATTAAATTTTATGTCATCTCGTAATAATTCTTGTGATACTGCTATTGGATTATAATCAAGTATTCTATTAATAATTTACATGAGAACTTATTGCATTAAAAGCAGAATTAAAAAAAGCCTAAAGTGTAATAATCTAATAGTAACATATGTTATAAGTCTAAAAATAATTGATGGATCGAAAACAATCAATAGATAAAGTCAAACAAAAATTAATAAATAATTTAAATCTTGAGAATCAATCATTAGTAAATATAATATATATATATATATAATAGTAAAATCAAGTTAAAAAATTCGAAAAATTAATACAAGAAAAGAACTAAGAACTTGAAAAATTATCTTTAATAAATAAAAATTTAACAGCTGCCAATAATTAATTACTCTCTGAAATCACCAAACAATTAAATGGACCAACTTCAGAAGAAAAAGAAATTAGAATTTAATAAATAAAGAGATTATCAATCATTGATACAAGACCACCACCTCCTCCACCTCTACCATTGCCACCATAAAAAGTTAAATAATAATAAGAATAATAACGTAAAAAACCAAAAAGATAATTAAAATAATTACATTGGGAAGCTGTTTTGATGTAAAAAATAGAATAAACTTTTTGGAATGATATGGATGACTTAACTATTAAAGTAGATTTTGAATAATTAGAAGAATTATTTTATTAATAAGTAAATGCTCCTTAATAATAATAAATTACTGTATTAATATAACAACCAACATTAAATTAACATATTTAAATTTTAAATTAAGAAAGATCGGTATATATTTAATATAAAAATAGAGAAGTGTAGAATTAGTAATAGCAAAATATAGACTTACAAGTTAATTAGTAATATAAGCTGTAAGTAATATTGATCTAAAATTTTTGGATGGAGAGAAGATAGAGGCTTTGATGAAATGTTTGCCATAAGGAAAAGAAATAGAATAAATGGAAAAAGTTAAATCTATGAGAGATAATCAATAAATAAAGTTGAATATTCCTGAGAAATTTTTAGTAGAATTATATGATATGCCATTTTTTGAAGAAAGATTATGTTCTATTAATTTTAAAATGAGTTTTATAGAGATTAAGAAATCAATTGATAGTAAAATTTAATTAGTTAAGAATACTTGTTAATAATTATTATAATGTAAATATTTAGAGAAATTCCTATTATGTTGTTTAGCAGTTGGAAATTATTTAAATATTAACACTCCAAAAGGAAGTATTTGATATCATTAATTATATATAAGTAATAAAAGGATTTAAATTAGAATCGATTGAAAAATTCAATTTGATAAAAGGAAATGATAGAGAAACATCATTGATAATTTATATTATAAGCATAGCTGAATAGGAAAATATACCAGTATTTAAATTTGAAGAAAATGAAGATTAATTATTGAATACTTAATTAATGAATTTAATTGGAGAAGTATCTAAATTTTCATTAATTTAAATATTTAATAATGAAATTAATTAAATTAAGATTGGTCTAAAACATTTAGAGAAGATGCTTACTATTAATGATTAAAATATTAATGACTCTTATTAATTATTTTAATAGGAAGTATTAAATTATTATAAAGTAATTGAAAATGAATATTTGGAATAATAAAAGCTATATGAAAAATTATGTGATCATTATGGTGAGAACTATTAAAATTATGAATCTGAAAAAGTATTCTAAAAATTCAATTAATTATTTACATTAATAAAAAAGGCAAAAATGTAATCAATTTAATTGAAATTATCTTAAGTTAATGAAAGTAGAATTAAAGAAACTTAAACTTAATTAACAAGAGTTAGATAAAGCAGTATATATATATATTTATATTATAAGTTATGATTGAAGAATAAGAGTAAAGTAATTCAGTTAAGAAGTAAATAGAATAAGCCAAAAGATTACCATTACATGAATTATTAAAATTAAAGAGTTAGTTCAAAGCAAAGGTGAATGGGAAAATATAAGAATGAAGATTGTATTAATTAATCTCAAATGTTATTGGATATATATGTTAAATAAACATTTATTAAAATATTCGTTGTATGTTTAAATTCAAATTAAATAAATATTAAATATAAAAGAATGTTCAGACATAGGGATTTAAATACATTTTTATCTAATTACTAGTAGTTTGATAGATAAACCAAGAAACCCTTCGAATATTTGAATCTCTCCTATCATTAATAATTTGATCATTCACCTATTAGAAAGTAAACATACACTTCAAAACATAATGAAATTTAATATAAGAGTCTTTAAGAACCTTCCTTCTTAAAACAAAGTTTATTACCTAATTATGAACCAACTAAATGTTCAAGTTAAAGAAATGGAATTATCAAAGCTTATGCTGCAAACACAAATTAAGGAATTGTTAGAGATTATAATGAAGATAGAGTCTCTATTATATTAAATATACTCAAACCATAAAGTAGAACTACAGAATAATGGCCTAAATGTTCATTTTTTGGAGTTTATGATGGACATGGAGGAGCTGCTTGTGCTGATTTCTTAAGAGATAATTTGCATTAATATGTAGTTAAAGAACCAGATTTTCCATGGAATCCAGTTGGTGCTATTAAAAAAGGATTTGAAGCAGCAGAAAAATCATTTTTATAAATTGCCTAAGAATCTTATAATAAAGGAGTACCTGAAAGAAGTGGATCATGTGCTATTGTAGTATTAATTATAGGAGATAATTGTTATGTGGCAAATGTTGGAGATAGTAGAGCTGTGTTAAGTACTGCATCTGGTAGAAAAGCAATAGCATTATCACATGATCATAAACCTGAATTAGAATAAGAAAGAATTGTTAAAGGTGGAGGATCTGTTTATTAAACTCATGGAATTAATGAAGAAGGTATATAAATTTTAGGACCTGTAAGAGTTAATCCAGGTAGATTATCAGTATCTAGAACATTTGGAGATATAGAAGCTAAATTTGAAAAATTTGGTGGAAATCCAAAAGTTGTAATTGCTGAACCTGAAATTAAGTAATTTAAAATAACTAATGAACATGATTTTATTGTTTTAGGAAGTGATGGAATATTTGATAAATTAAGTTCTTCTGATGTTATGAATATTATATGGAAAGATATCTTAAATTGTCAAGTAGGAAATAATTTACATAATGTATTATCTACTTCAGTAGAATCAGTACTTAAAGAAAGCATATAAAGAAAGAGTTAAGATAATGTTACTTTATTGATTGTTGCTTTTTCTGTGTCATCTTTAAAAGAAGAAGAACTCAGGATTAAAACATCATCATCAATTGAACAATTAGTAAAAGTGCCATTAACTAATAATATACCAAATACAAGAATGAGGTTTATATTTTAATATATTCATATTTAGTTATTCCAAAAAAGCAAATGATGAAAACAATCCTTTTTTCATTAACACATAAAAATAAAAGATGAAACCACATCAAAAGTAATAATTAGAGGAAACAACCAGATACAAACCTAGTTATATCAACTGAATATAAAAAATTAAAATAATTAATTTTTTCAATAAAGTATTTCATTTAATCAAGTACTTATTACCTTTAAATATTTTATGATATTTTTATCTCATTAAGGTCAAGTTCAATTAATTTTAATACTTAAAGTTTTCATCAATTGTTCAAATTATTGATTTATTATCTCTATTAATATTTCTAATTATTACATTATATTAAATTTCTAAGATTTATACATTATCAATTTCTTATCTTTTAATTAGATATATAATTATACTAAATCATCAATCCTCTATTTAGTAGTTTCTATAAATTCATCCCATAATTACTTATTATGTATATTCAAATCGTAGTTCTTTTGTAATTTCTTAATTTCCCCATTGTTTTTAATTATTCTATGTTTCTAAACAAATTAAAATTTTGTTTCTCTTATTAAATCTTTTTGTTATTCATATCATTATACTTTAGATTTCTTTATTCAATTTCTTCATTAAATTTGGATTCAAATTGAGATTGCTACATTGATAATAATATGCATATAAAATGTTTGAATATAATAATGACATCATTTTCCAAACAACATATTCCTAATAATAGGTAATGAGTCTTAGAATGTCTAATCAGTTCTAACATCTAGGGTATTCTTACAAACAATCAAACCATCTTTGTTTGTCATCAAAATTCCACCAAAACATTTTTTATCATTTTCAGTTTTCGATATAACCTAATAATTATTTAGATTTATTACTTCTGATGCTGATTCTTGTAATGAGTAATCCTAAACACTTTTAATTGAATTATCAATAAGTGTTCTTTCATCCAAACATTTCTCTTCATCAATCTCTATTTTGACTTCAAATTCTAATCCATTCAATTCCTTTCTTAAAATATCTTAGAATTCAGAGATAGCATCATCTATTACATTTCTTACATGTCTAATATCTCTATGTAAACATCTTCAGAATCATAGAATATATATACCTTACAACAACTTCATGTTCAAATAATTTAATTAATCCTTGAACCATCAAATTTTTTAACAATTCCTCGTAAAACCTTTCATCTTATCTGATCATTTTATAAATTTGATATTATGACTTTATTAATAAGCAAACATACATCAGAGAATATCTTTGTCAAAGCTTGATTTCTGGCATTCATCAATTTCATTCTAGCACCATTAACAAGAGCACTATGTTTGATTCTCTCTTGTTAAGCCTTCTTCTTAAATTTGTTATTGATTTCTTCCTATATGTTGGATTTCTCTTTTTCCACTATTTGCTTTTTCTCCTTCTCAAATTACTTAAATGCCTTGACTTCAATTTCAAAGCATTTCTCTCTTGCCTCTTATAACACAAATTCAGCCAAAGATATTTAATCTTACAACATTATTAATAAATATTTATTTTTTTGTATATAACTAAATTCAACACTCTATTCATAAAAAATTCTTAAAATAAATAAATAAATATATCAATATCATATATAATAAGTAATTCATTATTATTTTCATTACACATTTGAATTTATTTATCATAAAATATTTCATATATTCTCAATTTCTGAATAATTCAATTTATATTAAATTTTAACATTATCTTATTATGATAGATTGCCATCAATTATTTGTCTATTAATGTATATATATGCTAAAATTACAAAAAATAGAAAATAAATTAGATTTATAAATTAAGTATTGTTTCTATTTATTTTGGAGAAAGTGTAAATAAAAAAGATAAAATTAATGCTAAATATTTTGGGATCTTTTTGAAAATTAATTTATAACTAGTTAATTAAATATATCTTATTATAATTTCATATAATTTGATGAAGATGTTAAATGATAGTATAAAATATTAATAAATAAATAATAATAGAATATAGAATTAATACGAATAATCAAATCAAAATTCTTCTTCTTCACCATAATCATAATCGCTATGACAACAACTATGAATAAAAGGTTCATATTCAGAAATTAAATCATTAATATTAGTCTCTGCTTCAGTGAATTCCATTTCATCCATCCCAACAGATGAATAAAGATGTACAAAAGCTTTTTTTCTAAACATTTTTGCGAAATTATCTGAATAACACTAAATATAATTTTTAAATCCATTAGAATTTCCTAAAAATCCAACAATATTTTCATGATCTCTATGTTAAACACTAGTATGAACTCTATAATGAGTATCATGACCAATAAATTAATAGAGATCATCTTTTTTAATCATTAAAGATTGAGATTCAGGTATTCCAAAGCAATTACCTCTTAATTAAATTTGATATGAGGTGTATTCATTTTGTAAATTATCTTCAAAAGAACACAACTTATATTATGTTTTTAGAATATTAGTAATACTCCAATTTGATTAATTAATAATCATATAGCTAGGTTAAAAAAAATGTAATCTTGGAAATGGTATCAAATTCAACTAAAGTTTCTTCATTCCTCCATTAATAAATCCTGGAAATCGATATGAAGCAGTGGTTTGAATCAAACTCTCAGATATAATTTTGTTATAATTTTCATAATTTTAAGATATTCCATTGATTGTGCATATAGATTATAAACCAACATTATCAAAAACAGTTACTAAATCAACAATTTCAGTCATAGGTTGTAAAATGAATGCTGTATTATATATTTCTAAATAATTTTGTGTTATTCCATACTAAAATACAGGATTACAATGAACTATCTTAGTTAAGTCTTTTTCATGAAAGTAAAAAATCAAATTATTTGCTATGCCTGAACCACTTCCTCCTCCAGTTGAAAAAAACATCATAATGCCTTATAAATTATCTGATTTTTCAAAGTAATTATTTAATACATGTTTGCATTATTCCATTAATTCTTATCCTTTAGTATACTTTCCAATTGCAAAAATATTATTGCTACCAAAATTCATTGAAAAACAACAATTTGGATCAATAAGAACATCCTTCTAAATAAGTAATTTATCAATTTAACCTAACCATATAAACAGATATTACTTGGTTCTAAGTCTAGAAATAAACATCTCGGAATAAACTATTATCTTGAATTTTCATTATAAAAAACATTGATTTTCTTTTTGTATCTATTTTAATCAATTATTTCTTAATGACAATTTAAACAATGATCATAATTTAATTGCTTTATGAATTCCAATCCTATATTAATTCCACACTATCCAATTCCTATAATTATTATCTCTTGCATCAAATAAATATAAAACTTAATTTTGGCATTTTTAATTAATTAAATACATTGTATATTTGAATAAATATATATATCTAATTAAATTGAATCATTTTAATCTCTTTAGACTATTCAATAATTATTAAAAGTTTATAAGCAATTTGATTTAGTATCTTCTTTTTAATTACACACAAAAAACACTACTTCTTTATAATTTAAGTTTCAACCTTAATTTCAATTAAATTAAATTATCCCAATATCAGATGAATTTAATTAATAGTATTAATTATTTAAAATAATTCAATTCAATTAAAATATCTAATCTATTTATTAACATTATAATTTAGTCATGAAATTAAAATATTTATAGAGTATATTGGTTATTTTTCATTTACATTTATTTAAATATTATTTTTTTTGAAAAACTGAAATTATTTAAACCAATAAATAATTTTGGAATTCACTCTTAAATATTAAAGCAACCCTATATA